CTGGCAACCATTGAAGCCCTCGATTCAGGTGCTGTCTACACCTTGGCTCTGAAGACACACATTGGAATGTCTGTGCAAACATTCCGATATTTTGCTGGCTGGTGTGACAAAATTCAGGTAAGTGCAAATGTTGTTTGAAAGGGACAAATACTTATTAGTTTCTAAAGACACTGTGTCAGAGTCACCTTTTACGTAGGTTTTCTCATCCAATCCTTACAGTGGTCATCTGAGGTAGGTGGATAGCTATTATCGCTTATTATAGGCTAGGAAACAGAGCCTTGAGAGGATGTGGGTGACTTGCCTGTGGTCACATAATTGGTAAGTAAACCATAGAGCTAGGATTTGAACTCAAAGATTTTTCTAAAGTCTAATGATATTCTTTGTACTTGACTATAATTTCTTCCGAGGGCCCCTCATCTTCTGGACATATAGGGAGAAGCCTGGTATCATGGAAGGATTGCAAACTTAGATGCCTACAGGGGCCAGAGAGCTACGATAGGTGGGCTAAGCAGACTGGGTAAAAGAAAAAGAAGTAAGACATGGGTACAATAAATGTTTCATTTCCTTTTACTATATATAAGAAAATAAATAGCACATGTGTGATGACAAAAGGCAACTGTACTTGGCCTTGGCATTGGGGCTACAGAAGGGAAAGGTAGGGTTCATATCGAACAGCAGAATGCTTGCCACTCGTAGTCATGACAACCACTGCAGTACCAGCCATCACAGCCACATTACCAGCATCAAGAAAAAGAAGGTGGGGAGGGGGGAGAAAGGTAAAGGGGCTTTAAAAAGCATTCCCCCCACCCAATGCCTGTGCATATATCTCCTACTAGCCATCTCTATCTGTGAAGGGGACTGGGAAACATAATATTTTATCTGGGCACATTGCAGAAGCAATATTAATATAGAGTCAGAGAGACGTGGGTGTAAGTCTCAGTTCTGCCACTTACCAGACGATGCTGTTAAAGGTACTTTGCCTCTCTGATCCTTACTTTCCTCATCTGTAAAATGGCCACAATAATTCATACCTTGGAAATTACATAATGAGGATTAAAAACAAATGTTTATATACTATAGAATCAGAGAAGTCTGTAACATAGATCTTGCTCATAAATGTAGTTTTTATTACTGTTCAGCCACAAAGTCATACATATATAAGTATTTAGTAGTGATGGTTCAAATTCATTCTTTACCCATAATTATGAAATCCAAATTACTCTGAAACATGAAAATTGATTTGTTTGATTGGTTCAAACTCATTTGGTGCCAAAACCTGACCTGAACCAACATGAGTCTATAATCTTTATTTACATCACTTAGAGTGAATATTTATATGTTTCTCTGAATAAATATTAATGTGTTTGATTATGGGAGGCTGCCCCAGACCCTACTGGGAGTAATAGGTAATATAACATAATATAATATAAGGTATATGCATTATATTATTTTTCTAATCCCAAATACACTTGGCCCTAAGGGTTTCAGGTAACAGATTGTATACTTAGTTGTATTTGTAACAGCAATAACATTTTATGTGGCAAAACAAATATATAGCTTCAGTTAAAGACTATTATCNCTGAGAAAAATTATTTTGACAATATTTTCTAGTGTTCTCATTGCTTTTCTGAAGGAGTAGATTTTTGGAGGTCCTTAATCCACTATTCCAGAAGTGCTTCCCATCCATTTGTATTTAATAAAGGTTAGGTAAACTTAGAAAGCAGTTTAGTACCATCTGGTTAAGAACATGAATTTTGGAGTCAGACCAATCTGGGTTTAAATCTAAGTAACATTGATTACTAGCTATGTGACCTTTGGCAAGTTACTTAGCTTCTCTAAGTCTCAGTGTCCTCGTAAGTTAAATGGGGAAATAATAAAATCCACCTCATAGGGTTGTTGAGAGAATCCAATTAGATAATTCATGTAAGACACTTAGCATATTCCCAGAATGATGTGTTTAGAAAACTGGACTATATGCAGTGACTGAACACATCAATTCAGATGAATTTTCCTTTATTATATTCTGCATAAACACATGGAAATATTTCCTGGAACATGAGTACTTGGTTTGGGAAAGGCAAGATACCCTCTTGCTATTTTTTGTTTCTTTTTAAGCATCATCAATTTTTCTATATGAAATGATTTTATAAACCATTAATTTCCTTTGAAATACCTTGTATTGATATGGCATTTTATGCCAATAATGTTCTTTCACATATATTATCTCAATTATTCATCATAATAGCTGTATAAAACAGGTATTACTTTCCCATTTTATTGTTGAAAAAACTAAGGTTCATGGTGGTTAATAATGGACTAACCTAAATTCACTTACTAGCTGATAATAGAGTACAATTTAGGCAACATATGTAATAGAGAGAATGTGAAAATGGGGAGGAACATAAGCAAAGAAAACTTAAAATGGCACCAGTGTAAAAAGAAACCTACTGACAAAGGCAATTTCCAGACTTTAAATGAAAGCAATGACTACATTCTATAGATGTTGCCACTAGGTGGCGGTATTTCCATTATCTGGTTGTCTCTGGAGTTAACCTTTCATGTGTATAAGGAAGTGAGATCTTTATAAATCCCAACCTAGAGCTTTTTGGTCACTACAGATGCTACGCACCTGCCTCAGTGGTCAATCTGAGCATCACAAGGCCCAAATCTTACATATGCTTGTCTCTTCTGCACAGTAGAAACTAGAATTTCATTGACTTAACGTCTCCCTCAGCATTAGTGAATGAGTTTCTTTATTGCTATTTGGTATCAAATGCTTAAGCACAGGAATCCATTGAATCTATTAATGTAATTCTCTCTCCTAGGTTTCAAAGGAGGTCAATGAAATGACAGTAAAAATGCCATATCAGTGTTTCATAAATGGACAGTTCACAGATGCTGATGATGGAAAGACTTACGACACTATCAACCCAACAGATGGCTCTGTGAGTAATTACTTGGTGTGCATCGTGACCACTGGTCATGGATTTTTAGTTTATAATACACAGTTGTAAAATGGACAGTTTTAAAAAGTTGCTTTATTCCATCACTTTGCCTCCAAGCACTTAATATAAATGTACTTCATGCAGTTCTTTCAACTATTCAGTTCTGGTACTGACTGCTGTTAACTATAGTAACCTATTTTATAGAATGAATATTTATGGTGAATTTAGACAAATAGCTATACATACACACATCAGAGGCACACCTCAACGTAAATCTATATATGTGGGGAAAGAATTTCAGACTTAGTAAGCTCATGGCAAGAAACTCAGCTTCCCTAAGGCACTAGAAGAAATAGTGATAGTTTTCCTAAATGTGTCTTTCCATAATATAGTGTGACATGAGCAGTATCAAATTTCAGGCTCACAATTTTCATGTTAAAATGGTTATTTTTTGTT